AACGCTGAGGTGAACGAACACCACGCACCGCATGCGAACCGTAGTTTGCGAAAGTGGCGATGACCAGAGGAGGTGACAAGGTAACAACACGGCGATGACGTACGATAGCCATTCGATCGACGGCTGAGGCAGATGAGTTAAGTGGAGTCTGATGAAGACGGAGGGTAAAGAGGGCGAATTAATGCCGAACGGACAGGTGTGTTCGAAACCGAATCTTGTACCCGCGCGTCACCTCTTCCCCTCTTCTGTTGAACTGAGCAGCCTCGTGGTCGAGGGTTGCAGGAGGCATTTTTTCGAGGTCAGATTCCGATTAAGCCTTTGTTTCCACAGTCGATTGACAAACGTTGCCAATGATATGCATCGCTGGCTTGATTTGGCCTAAAATCATGCGAAAATCTTCTTGCCGTTGTTGTTTCATTAGCCAAATACTTCCGGTTTTCAAGCAGGTCCTCGTGATTACCGATCGCATTCCGTCAAGTTTTTCCGTCACCTGCCGATCCGGTACTTTTCGATAGCCGCTCGCTCGCCGGAGCACAGACGGGAGCTTGATTTTATAGACGGTTAAAAGTGCTTAAGTACTTAAACAAGAAGTTAAAACGTTAGAAATATGACATCTTTCAATGTTGGGGGAGAATCGACGCGACGAGATACCGCGATGGGCGCTGCTGCGAGGGAAATGGAGAGGGAAATTCGTGCCACATTCCGGTTTGATGTGTGGAGAGGTAAATCTTAAATACTTAATTAAAAATTAAAATAGGTGTTTATGATTTTTTTCAATGTTTCGACAGTGTAAGAAGTTGTTACGGCTGCGATGCTTACGGAAAGGTAGGAGAAACTGCGACAGCTACTTGCTGAATCGACTGCCGGCCGAAGACCCCGTGGACTGGCAACAATGGCCTGAGCCTGACTGCGGAAGTGGTCCAGAGTCGATTTGTTTTCCGTTGAAGCTACGACGCCGTTGTCTTTGTGATCTGACAGTACAAGCGGTCATCGAACCTGTACGACGGTCTATTTTTCGCTGTTGGACGTTTGGCATGCTTGAACCTGTTCTGACGGTCAGATGGACCGTTTCCGCTGCGACCTGAAAATACGCAACGGTCTGACACCGTTGTATTTCACGACGCTAACCTCGGTACGTCCTTACATCGCTATCATGGATCGATACACAGATTGTGTATCTTGTATCAGGGGAAACAAGCGCTTCAGTGACCTTCCACCAGGGACACTGGTCGCCGGCTTTTAGACACCGATAAGAGGTCGTAATCGTTGATTCGATTATCTGACCACTATACTACCATGCCTGAGCCGAAACCCCTGGTGGCATCCGAAACCGATTGATCGACCTA